TAGTCATTCCGTAAAAATTCAAAAAATATCCACTGGAATTGGTTTCCAAGATTTGAAGACGTTTCGCCACCTCTCCACGGAATAATAAAAACCAAACAACTGAAAGGCTGAACAAAAGCTTAACGCACCAAATGACCAGACGTCGGACTTGCTGCTGAACTTCGAGTACTTGATGACCTCTGGGGCCGACCACTTGACAGGAAACTTGGAGCCTTGGGAACTTGTGTACTGATCATCAAGAACAAACCTTTCGACGCACAGAGGAGGGATAAAAAGTCAAACAAATGCAACAGGACACCCATAAAGACCTCTAATAAGTCTGAGGACAGTCTACCTGGTCATGCCAAAATCAGACACCTTCACCTCATTGTTCTTCGAAACAAGACAGTTCCTTGCAGCCTGTAGGGCCAAAGAGAAAAAAACACTTGAAATATGAGAGACAACGTAGAAGGAAAGCCAGTTTTAATGATTTTACCAGATCTCTGTGGATGAAGTTGGAGCTCTCCAGGTACGCCATCCCCTCGCTGACGTCCAGGCACATTCCCAGCATCAGATCCTGAGACAGACGACCTTTCTTCTCGCGCAGGTAGTCTGACAGGCAGCCGTTCTCCATGTATTCAAACACCAGACACATGGGGGAGCGCTGCGTGCACACGCCATACAGCTGCACCAGCTTACAGTGAGACAACCTCCTGCAGAAGCACACGCATCCTTCAGAAAGCTGCTTGGCACTTCACCAAACCTATCTGGCGTACTCACATCATGACCTGCGCCTCTTCTTTGAAGTCCTCGTCTGACATGCACTCCTCTTTCACCATCTTCACTGCCACCTTCCTGTCCCTCCACTTCCCCTCCAAGACGAGCCCAAACTGTCCGCAGCCGATCTTCTGACCCAGATCCAGCTCCTCTGGGTTTATCTCCCATTGATCTGTTAGGAACAGCAAACTAGAGCTAAACAGCCGCAATGATCCTCCAGTTCACTTAGATATTTACTCCACATCGTTCTATTCATTAAGTGAAACTGAGTTTATTTTGTTCTTTCCATTCGAGGAGTCAACGTTTTTGTTTTTTGGCAGTTTGTGGTACACTTTAACTTAACTTCTCTCTGGCTTTGAGCAGAATTATCAGTGTTATAATCAGCACTTGAGTTGAGAGGAGAGGGGGCATAACTCTGTAGGGGCAGTGATAGCCATGCTAACTGTGTAGGGGCAGTGATAGCCATGCTAACT